TACCTGCTTATGCCACTCCATGTGACAGATTGACAATTTCCTACAATATCCTGAATTAACTTCACTGAATTAAATTAAACCTTATTGAATTCCGGTTAATACATTTGGGGTACACTGTATTAAAAATGCAATTGCGTGTATGTATTATGGAATTGTATGCATTTCATGGAAAGGGTAAATAGGAGAACAGCAGTGGGTGCTTAAGCAATTTCACTCAGCTTGTAACATCTCCAGAGAAGCCCCCACACCTGGAGAGGTTCACATATACTAGTTCAAACTGGATTCTCTGAGGGGACCAACAGCCATAAAAGGGTTTTAGGATAAATAGGTTAGTTTTAAACTGGCTCATGGCCTTCTTCCTGATCTAGCAAAGGGACAGGACAGCTGATCTATGGAGGGCCCCAATCCTTAGGACTGGGCCTACTGAGATCCCATAAGACTGGGTGCATGTTCTGAGATGAAGCTGTGAGGAACTTGTAACCACAAGGAATCCCCTTGGGTGGAGGGTTGAAGGGCTGCTTGTACCAGGACCCATGTTAGGGTGAACTCTGTTAAGCTTATTAGCATGCATGTAGGTTCTTTTATTGTTTTTAATATCTTTTCTGTTATGATTTTTACCTTGAGAATAAAGTAGGCTTTCATAGGAACTGCAGTGTGATACCTTGTAACTGTAGCAATCACATTTGTTAACTATCTCTGAAGAGAAAGCAACCAGGTGACCTTGGGCAGCCTGTCTGTGCTGAGAATACCACAATAAAGGCAGGGAACCATGCAGCCTGGAAACACCCTAGTGAGAAGGAAGAGAGGTGCAGGTTTCCATCCACAAAGGCAATGGCTGGGGAGCTGGAAGCCTGAGAGCAGGTGACCTTGCTGGATCATTGAGGGGAAATAATGGTGCAGTTGGCCTGAACTGTGACACCTCTCTTTAGCAATGCATCCATTTACCGTTTTTGTAGGACTCCTTTTGATTTTCAGGTAAGAGCGAGCTCATGATGGAGCCATACTGGTCGCTTACTATTCTTGCTCTCTTTCCTGATCATCAGAATAGTTGGCAATTGTGCATTTAATAGTCACCTTGAGAAACTGCCAGCTCTCTTACGCTCCTTTATCTCTCAGATTTTCTTCCCTGCCAGAGCTCTGAGTTTGTTAAAGTTTGCTTTTTTTAAAGTCCATTCTCCTTAATCTGCTGCTCTCATTCCTTTCTTTTCCTTAGAACCATGAAACCTATATTTTCATGATCACATTCACCCAAATTGCCTTCCATCTGCAGATATGCAACCAATGCCACCCTGTTTGTCAGACTCAAAATAGCTGCCTTCCTGGTTACTTCCTCCTCCTTCTGAAACAAGAAGTTTTCCCAAATATATTGCAAGAACTTAGTGAACATCCTGTGTTTTGCTATGTTACCACTGTAACATAAGAATAGCCAAAGACTAAGATTTGGTGTATACATACTATATCTTTTTACAAGAGCGTTAATGCTGATAGAGCTCAAAGTGGCAATTTATTACAGTATTAGTTTACACTTGTACCATTGTTGTAAAAATATCCAATTTAGATACCCTAGAGCTATCATTTGATATAGGAAGAACTACTGTACCTACAAAGGAAAAAGTGTTACAATAATATTATTCAGAGAACGTAGCTGGGCTCAGTAATGTCCCTCTGTCACAAAGGGGGTAGATAGCTGCTTTGAGGGGTAGCACGGGAGCTCAGTTCAAACTTAACATCATGCAGCACTCTTCTTCAGTATGTGCCTTTTAGTTTCTACCTGGCATCTATCAAATGCTCACATATTGCAAAAATATATGAAGTGTGTGAATGAGGCCAGGGTCCTGTGAAAAAAGGAAGTATGTGATAATGTAATTGAAGACTATCATATGCATACACATATGTACAAGTGGGCTGAATTAAGTTTGACCAGGCAACTTTAATTCTGACATATTCTAACTTTTGAGTGCTTGATTATGCAACCTTAGCATTTCTTTTAATGTAATCCCTATAGATAATGTCTGTGCAGGAAGATATGTACACATATAGCTTTATAAAATTGTTAACTGCTTTGGGATTTTTGAGTGAAAGCTACTACATAAGCATAGCCAAAATAGATAAAATTGTCTTTTCGAGTTTCTCAGATTACCAAAAATGCCTGGTATTCTAAAGAGGAAATGTTTTTAATGAATATCTGTTTTAACTTTTGGAAATAAAGCCAAACTCCACAAATATAAAACATTACATCTGTCTATTTCATGGTATAAGTTTATCAACAGGTTCCATTATGCCTCAGTAACTTTATAAGTTCCAACTACCTCTAAAAGATCTCTGAGGTGCATGTGTTTGTGGAATAAGCAGCAATAATTTTAAACATGGGACTTTTGAAATAAAGCAGCAAGTTCTTGAAGCCACCCTATAAATGGTCTTCACCTTGATTTTAAAAATCATAGTGCCAGCATTTTGGCAGATCCCTTTACCCAGATTAGCTGCTGTGCATGATTTAATACCCCAGAGCGCACTGTGAGCATTGGTGCAGTGCATAGATAACTTATGTCCAGTTATTACACGAGCTCAAACTGAAAACATATGAACACAGTATGAAGCAGTAAAGTGAATAGTGGCTGGTTCCATAGTAAACAAAAATGCTATTCCCTCATTTGTGTCGAATGTTTAATGAAGGTCAAGCTCCCCCTAATGGGGAAATAAGTATTTTGTTTTTTTTCCACTAAAATGTCAGGTTTACAGTATCCCTCTAACAGTAATATGCCCGGCTTCAGAACCTAAAATGGGCTCTTTAAACAAATCGAATACAGAACATCCCAAATGTATGCACTTCATTTCTGCAGAGAGCTGTTTTACTAGTTAATAAAACTTTTTTTTTTCAGAATAGCAGACGTTCATCATAGAGTAGCTTATAAAGTGGGAAGCAATAACGAAAATATATACGTCTTGTAATAAAAGAAAGTGTGAATTTGTTTTAACTATTCAGAAAAATTGAAAAATAACTACACATTTTAAAACTGTGAATCAATCGATAACAGGCATGTGTTGTGTTGAAATGAAATGGTTTCCTTAAAAAGTAACAGCTGCAAATTCCAAATTAATCCCTTTTCACTTGTGCCTGTTACTGGTTAATTAAAGTGTAGGTGTAAAGTAATTGATAAATCTTATCTAGTTCTGCTTCTGAAGAGGCCTCTCAAGTATTCTTTTAACAATATAGCAATGACATACATCACTATTTCCCCTCCACTCAAATAGTTATTGCTTGTGAAAGGTGCCAGGTTGAAAACCAGGGGGACCAAACACGACAAGTACAGGGCAGACGGAGGGACCATATCTAGGGGTAAAAAAAAATTAATCAGTCTTTGTGCTTAATAGTTGGGATGGCTGCTGAGACTAATTAGGGCAAATTGTGATGGTGATGTCCTGTGAGAGAGACCCCTGTGCACCAGAAACTGGACTGCATCCACAAACTCATTCTATCAAGGCCATTGAACAGCCATGAGGCACAAACAGAATTTTCTAAGAAGGGGGCCCAGGCTACCTGCCAAGAAGCAGAGCTCACTTTACAGGCACTAGGTTCCCAATTTCTTCATCACTTTATGCATGCATTGCATTCTGAGAGGCAGGGCTAAATTAACCATCACTGGCCCTAGGCAAACACACACTTCTGGGTCCCTACCTTCTAATGTGAATTACAAACAGCTGATAAATGGAGAGAAGGGGAAAAAATACACTTCTGTGCTGCTTTCTCCCATACATATTACTGTAGTAAGTTCCTATCCCAGCCTGTTCACTTACTGCTGTTTAAGAAGGAAGTGGTTTCTTTACCCAGTGCCTTCCTCTGCCATTCCCAACAGAGCCAAGGAGAAAGTGAATCTCAGCTGTGTGCAAGGCCTGTCTCTGCCCACACCTCCACTGGTGCAGATTTGCGTCTAAACTGAAAGAATTTCACTCACTTGAGTGGTGCCATGGCCTGGCACATGGGGTCGTAACCCCACTGAAATGTAGCCTGGCCAGCCCTCATTATGACAGAGGGGCAGTTGAGTCAAATTTGAGTGACATTGTGAAGGTGACTGTGTGTGCCAGGGTGCATGACCACTTACTCAAGTGAGTGAAGTTCCTTCAGTTTGCGTGCAAATCTGTGTGGTTAAACAAAACACAAAACCAAAACATTTTGGGACACACACTCCCCTCCAATAAATCTGGAGTGTGCCTGGTTTGCCAATGTGTTCATCCAGCCCTGTGTGCATGAGCATGCATGAAGTTCCCCGTCACACTGTTGTGCACGCCCTCACTGAGCTGCCATCTCTCCTTCTGAAGTGAGCCTGGAAGCAACAGTGGAGGAGGAGGAAGCATGAAGAGATGGTGGCCTGGGGTTCTGGGAAGCAGGGAGCCAGGTCCAGGAAACCCCCATCCTGGACAGACCAGGATCTTTCCCTTCCCACACAAAGAGACCAGGATTGGCTTGGACCTCGCCCCACCCTCCCACCAGAGAAACTGGGACTGTGAATTTGTAGTAGCATTGATCTGTGGCTGGGGGGGGGTAGGGCAGCTGGACCAGGACACCTGAACACCCCTCCCACCTTTGTTGCACCCATGGAACAGCCCTCATATCGGAAAGGCTACCAATCAGGTCTAACTGGTGACTTAGAATAGAAAAGCTCCCATTAACAAGTCATCTGAACCAACCAATCCCTGTTCATCTACTAAGGCCAGGTCTCCACTACAGATTTATATTGGTATAAGTACGTTGCTCAGGGGTGTGAAAAATTCCAAATCCCTGAGTGACGTAGTTATACCAACCCTGAAGGCTACGCTGATGGGAGAAGCTCTCCTGTCGGCATCGGGCACATTCATTGGTGCAGCTGTGCCCGTGTAGCACTCGCTGTATGTGAAGACAAGCTCTAAGTAGGGTACCAAAAGAAATAAGTTTCAAATGTTTGCAGACTTAACAGATTACAGAGTTGGTCACATTTCAACGTCGAAAGCTAGCCCAGAAACCATCACCTGAAGCAGCACCTTTAATAAAGCAATGAGGATCGCAGACATCACTGAAAGAAGGAATAAATGGACTTGATATACTGTTTCGCTTAGTTTATGTACACTCTGAACAGCTAGAATCACGGTCTAGTCCAGAATCATAATTCACATAACATCGAAATTCGTTGGCTAAGTTTCGTGTATGTTTTGGAGTAAAATTGCACATCTTCACACCAAGATGCTTCACTGCCTGCTCCTCCATGACTGCACCTGAAGCAGAAAAAAATTTGGATTTGTTGACAAAGAAAGGTAACACTGCATTCTATGCTTTTTTCTTTAAATTGTTCCTCCGGCATCCCCCTATTTTTACTTCCCTTCCACAATCCTCTCTAAAGCTCTGTGGCATCAAGCAGTCTTGGGCCACAGAGAGGGTTGGAGCCCCATGGGAGGGAGAAGGAAGGAGAGAAAGGAGGGAAAACGTCTGAGAATGGTCTTAGGTGCTTTCTCCACTATCCCCTTTGCCTGGTGCTGACTGTTCTCCCTTGAACATGCTCGACTCTAGATCAAGAGCCAAATGAGACACAGATTCGAATTCCACACACTGCTGCCATTTGATGAGTGAGTACGCTCCAGAGTGTCATATTTAAAGCTACCCAGTTCAAAACCAGAGATGCTCTAGGGAAGTAACACAGCTGGTGCACTAGAGCAGAGGCTCCCAAACTTTACTGATTCAAGTACCAACTTCTTAAAAAAAAAACGGTGAAATGAATGGATTGAACATCAAGCTCACACACGACACACGTACCACGGTTTGGGAACCTTTGCATTAGAGCATTATTGCAGCATGAGCAAAGCAAGCCTTAACAGCATTTGAAACACGGGGCTCCACAGCGAGAAGAGGCCTTAACAGGTACCATTACTATGCTGTAGGTTCTTTAACTGTTCACATATGTCCTCTAACATTTTAACTGTCCCATGCACTTTCACTGCCCAAAGGCTGAAATTTTTAACAGTGGCAGAATCCTTAGATGTGACCTTTAACAATAAACGTGTCTATTGATACATTTGTGTTCAAAGCGAAACTCTAAAGCTTTCATTCCTTTAGAATGCTAAAAACTTCCCTTTTCCCTGATCAGATCTCGAGGCCATTACAATCTAGTCACCGCTCACTCTGTCATTTTAGCTTAGTTTGGGCTCCACGCGGAAGAGCTATGTGGCAACTTAAACCTCGGCCAGCAGCTGCAGAATTTAAGAACTTGCAAATTCCTAAAGGCAGCAGCATTTTTCATTTATTTTCAGTGAGTTCAGATAAATTTAAAACTATTTGTTTAAAAAAAAATCACCTTTGTAAGTGGCATTCATGTTACTGTAACTAAATTTAAACAATCCCCTTAATTACAGAGTGTGTTCCGGTCAGAGAATTCCTATTTGATTGGAAAAACACTATTCTTCTCTTAGATGATCTCAAAGAACTTTACAAACAAATAAGCTCATAATACCCCTGTGAAGTAGGTATTCTTTTTTAACAGTTAGCTAACCTGAGGCACACAGGTCAAGTGTGTGCTCAACTTCACACAGCAAGTCAGTGGCACAAGTGGGAAGAAAACTCAAGAGTCCCGAGTTTCAGTTTCTTGCTCTGAGCCAGGGGTTCTAAAACTTCATTGCACTGTGACCCTCTTCTGACAACAAAAATTATTAAATGACCCTATGAGGTGAGACCGAAGCCTGAGCCTGCCGTCCTGGGTGAAGGGGCCAAAGTCAAAGCCCAAGCCCCACTGCCCTGGGTGGGTGGGGGTGGGGGAACGGGAAAGCCAAAGCCTAAGGGCTTCAGCCCCACGCAGGGGACCTGTAACCTGAGCCCCACCACCCAGGGCTGAAGTCCTCAGGCTTCGTCCCCAGACAGCGGGGCTCAGGCTTCGTCCCCAGACAGCAACAAGTCTAAGCCTCTCTGGTGACCCCATTAAAATGGGGTCCTGACCCACAGTTTGAGAACTGCTGCTCTAAGCACTAGCCAAATCGCTCTCTATAAACAGAACAGACTCTCAGTGGTGTTCAGCTCCAGAAATATATAGGGATTCCCAGGCATTGAATACATATTCCCCATGTATATTAGGAGCATTAGGCATACACAGGCTATAAGACCGTACAGCTCAGTGGTCAGGATTTCCTAAAAAACAACACATTTTGTCTTAATTAGGATACAACTAGAGCTGTACTAAGAAAGGTAATTCCGTTTCATGGAGGAGCACAAGTGTATCGGTAGACCCATTTATTGCTAAAGGTAATAAGAAGGATTCTGCCACTGTTAAAAATCTCAGTCCTTGGGGCAGTTAAAATGTTAGGGAACATACGTGAACAGTTAAAGAACCGACTGCATAGTAACAATACCTGTTAGTTCTGAATCAGAACTAAACCCAGAATTTTTGAAGTTCTCCATGAAAGGGAATGGAGCCCTGCTCCAGGCCAGTCTGCCTGGTGGGCTGCCCCAGGGCCATGGACCCTGAAGGCTCTGGAGTCCCTGACTCCAGGACAATCTGGCGGGCAGGAGCTGGGCAGTCAAGCTGGAAGAAAACCTGCCTGGCAAATAGGGTTCTGTTGGACCCCGGCTGGGTTTCATTGGAATGTCACCAAAATAGATAATAAAAATATTTAGAGTAAAACATATTCAGTATATTTTCTCCTCTCTCAAAAGACACAGATGCTATACCTGTACAGAGCAGAATCTTTCCTTTTGTTAAGTATTTGACTGTCTCTGCTGTTTTTCTGAGACACTCCTCAGACAGATAGGGTGGATCCGCTAATACTATGTCAAAACTGTGTGGTATGAGATTTCCAGGTAAATTCAATGGATTGTTGTAATCATAGAAGATAAATTCCTCTCCATATACAGAAAATCTTTTGTCATATTCCAGTATACACACGGAAAAATCTTTGCCATCCTGTTCTTTCAGTTTCTGGTAAACACTTGGAGCACTAACACACGCTATCCTGAAAAGAGAAAGAAGTAATTCAGAACATTCTTTTTAAAGGGTAACAGACAAAGATATTAGAATTGGGCTCAGACCACAAGATTTAGATTTTTAACACCCGAAAGTCAGGGCTTTTTGCAAAATTAGATCTGGATTTTGACCTCTTTTCCAAGCCCCAAAAGTTCTGGGGTACTTGGATCCCAGGTTTTGATTTGGACCTCACTTTTAAGTTATAACCTTTCTGCTTTTACTTGGATTTCTGCTTTTAATACATTCACTATAATTTCACATTGAACAAACCAAGCCTCAGTATAAAAGCCATGATGTTCCATTAATTTGAGCAGGGATCAAGGCCTGACTCTTTATATTAAAAATGACAGGATTTACATGCAGACAGTTATGAAGGTTAATAATGAACTACATCATGCTAATGATAATAGAGTACTAGCAGCAGAGATAATCAACAGTATGGCTGCTTGTAGCACCAAGCTGACCAACCTCAGAAAAGTCTATTAAACTATGTGGATTTCACCACGGTTGTGTTTAAAATCCCCAAGGACAAATAAAATGCTACAGCTCTTTTGACATAGTCAACAAGATGAAACATCAGGAATAAGTTAAAAACACTGGTCATGAATGGCATCAATTCTGATGTTTATCTCTGTTATTTGAAATAAATATTAGAGAGACTATGTCATGGTTAAATAACCAAAAAATGAAAACACCTAAGATTTAACATTCTATTTTCCTCCCAATCTATTTTCATAGAAAGAACCTTCTAAAATTAAATCTAGATTGCATTATAGATTTATGCCCAGTTTCTCATCTGAGTGATCCTCCTACACAGAGTGCCAACTTCATTACATGCAATCCAAATATAAGAATGTATGTTGCCTCATCCCTCTGCTTTGTTTATTCCCTTTGCTCTTTTGAGCAAACAGGGTATTGTAATTAACAAGGCTCCTGAGATTGAAAAATTCCAGACCAGCTCTAATTGCAATGAAATTTTTTGGGGGTCAGAAAATGGTGATTCAGCAAGCTAACTCCACTCTAGAACAGTGTGGTAGTTAGAGCACTCACCTGAGATGTGCGAGACCCAGCTCAAGTCCCTGGTCTGAATCAGGCTAAACAGGGACTTGAACCAGGATCTCTCACATCCCAGGTGAGTGCCCTGACCACCAGGCTATTCCAGGGGGGAAGGGAGTGGGGAGTGTCTGTATGTTTTTGTCAAAAGAATTTGAAAGGTCTTGGTTTCATCTTGATACAGAATGAGAAAAAATTTAAAATCTCAAAAATTTTCATAGGACGGGAAAACCATTTCCTGCCTAGCTCTAACTGCAATACTCTGCCAACACACAAGAACAAAGAAAGGCAGAGAAATATGCATGTGTATATCCGTGAACAAAACAAACCTGATAGCTCTGGTTTCTTCAAGGCCTACCTCCCTTGACATGTCCTTTAAAATGACAGTAGAACCTCGATTTTATAAAGACCAATCTTACGTGCAACAAACCATATTTCCCGACTGAGGCGGGGTGGGGTGTATGTGTGTGTGGGGGAAATCATATAATGAAAATTATGTTTATGAAGAACAAGTTAACATCCCTTCATACTCCAGTGCCTTCAGTGCACTAGAAATCATTTTGCAGTGGTTTGAAGAACAAGAAGAATGTGATGCAGTGCACCATACTGCACCCTATGGACCATATCTACTGTAATTTTGAAATGTTCAATGTTATGAAATTTTTGATTTAATGAACACTTAAATCCCTAATTAGTTCATAAAATACAGGTGCTAGTGTAATTACAGCCCTTTGGTTGAATTTGTTTACAACAGAACATTAACTGGTAGCAGCAACAAAGCAGATAATCTGTAAGAATAATATATTTAACTGTGACTATAAAAAATACACTTGCCATAATTTTTGGTTTTGAAATACCCAACCCAATCAATCAAGATACTGGATAATCAGTTACAGTGAAAAGAACATTGTATGGGATACTGTCTTCATACTACCTGTATTCGGTTTTGTATACCAAGTATTCTAATGAGTAGAACAATGGAATAAATAGTTCTGACACTCAAATAGTGGGAACTGCAATAGTCTGGCAAAGGCAGTTCTAAAAATAACTTTTCTGTGTTTCTTTCTGAATCAGATTGCCAAGTTAATCAGCAAAGCTATCTTAAAACCAAAAGAATTGCAATGATAATTAAATGGAATTGGAAAGAAAAAATAAGTCGTAAGATCTGTGTTCAGTTCACAAGAAACCACCATTAGGAACACACAGAGAGTCAGTACGAACATCTTACAGCTAGTTACCAATGTTTAACAATTTTTAAAAATTTAGGATTTAGAAGCAGATTTGTAACAACAAAGCTCAGAACTAGTATTTAGCTTAGTTTTAAAAAAAAAGAGCTCTCAGCACCAGACAGCTAGCAAGCACATACACAGTCTCAAAACAAATTAATTACAATAATTAATAGAGGTTTAATATATTATAAATATAGTAGGTATTTAGGCCCTGATTCAGCAATATGCTTAAATGTATGCTTTAGTACCTTGCTGCACTGGGGACTTAAGCTCTACCTATAGAGCAAAGCTTGTTTTATAGCAATATACAAACAGAATTGAAAATTTAATAATAAAATTTAAAATAATTTTTTTCAAAGAAGAATTTTTGTGAAAAAACAAGATTTCCTGTTATGTTATTTTTCCAGAATGGACAGAGGGGGACAAGAAAAGGGGAAACTAAGTCACAATTTAAAAAAATAAAAACAAACAGAACCCCAAAACAAAACATAAAAAAGGACTCTAGTCGGTGGTTTTTATTGTGTGAAGAAAGGAATCCAGAGTGAATCTTCCAGTCCCTCTCCCTAAAAACATACCGAAGGGCAGGTTTACACTAGGAGTGCTACATCAGTGCAGCTGCACCTCTGTAGCACGTCTGGTGAAGACGCTCTATGCTGAGGAGAGAGATCTCTCCTGCTGGCATAATTACTTCACCTCCGCGAGATGCAGAAGCTACATAGACAGGAGAGCATCTTCTGCTGACATAGTGCCGGTGTGGACAGTGCTTAGGTTGCTGTAACTTGCGTTGCTCATGGAGGTATGTTTTTCACACCCCTACCCGACGCAAGTTAAATCGACTCAAGTGGTAGTGTAGACCTGTCCTAAGATCAGAAGTTTAAAATAATGGATATGCTGACTGGTGTGATGTTGTTAGTTATTAATAAAATGAAAGATAAGTATTTGTACAGCACCTCCACTCACGGACCACAAAGCACTTCACAAATATTAAGCTGCAAAACACTTCATGAGGTAGATATGGTAAGTGTGATCAACTAGGCTGGTTAATGAGTTGCTCAGTGTCACACAGAGAAACAGTCATAGCCAGGATTAAAATCCAGGCCTCCCAACTCCCAGTCCTGTGCTCTACCCACTAACTGACTGCTAATCATAGAACTGGAAGGGACCTCGAGAGGTCATCTAGTCCAGCCCCCTGCACTCATGGCAGGACTACATATTATCTAGACCATCCCCGACAGGTGTCTCTCTAAACTGGATTTCTATTTCTTACTACCAAAATTCTGATTTTTCTGTACTGCCTAGAGAAACAAGATGATTTAAAGTAAACTACCTAGAACATTTTAAATAAGAAGAAGCTCAAAATGTTTGATTTATAAAATAATTAATAAAACCTACCTGCCACCTCTTCCAGCTGCCAGAACAGCTTCATTAGCCAGGCATAATGCAGTTTCATCGTCATACCAAAACTGGCTCAATTGCTTGGGAAAATCATGCACAAACAATTACTGACAGCATCGGTCCTTCTGACTGTGCAGTGTATGACACTTTTTGTTAACCAATATCAGCCCCATTCTAGGAAAACCAAAATCCACAACTTTTTTGTATCATAAATTGCAATCGTGCACCTCTGAACAAACTCTTACTAACTGAGCTGGAAAAGGGATTTCTCTACTGACAGTTTTATTTCCTCTATAAACTAGTATTTCAAGCCGATAAATAGTGCTACTTCACACTTACATGTTGCCAGAGTTTTATAAAAATCTATTACTATTTCAACAAAACCAAGCTATACCAGACTATTTAGATCATTCCTTTATTTAGTACCTTTGCCCTGTTACCAATGGTGAATCCAAATCCAAAGATATTGTTTACCTGCAGTGTACAGATATTTTAACTCCCAGTCTTTAAATAGTTTAAAATTGTGTTATTAAGAAGTCATTGATTTATTTTGAGGTTGGGAACAGTTTATACCAGCTCAGGATTGTGAGGGGCAAGGAGACAGCCAGCTTGGAGAGATGGGAAAAGTCAAGGAAGTGGTAGCAGTGAAGAAAAGGAAAGATGAGATAGCAGAGGGTAGGAAGGAGAAAGTCTGAGATGATAGCAATCAGAAAAAAAAAAAAAAGGTGTGTGGGGGGAGAACAGGAAAATGAGAGCCAGAAAACCTCATGGCCAGAATCAGTCAGTCACAGGTCAGAAGGGACAAGTCACCTGTCCAAATAAGGTAGGTAAAAAACAGAGAGGCATGATGGGAGAAGAGAGGGAAGAGTGTGCTATTTCCACATTATTACAATGTCTCAATTGCATCTCTTTCACACACACCAAAGGAAAAATCTGTACCTCCTCCACCCTCCCAGTCTGGAACTAAAATTTCCAGAGAGGGCAGCTACTTGTCTTGCATCTTTTCTCCCTTCCTCCCATGTTAATTTCAATTAGTGCCAGATAGAACAAAACAAACAAAAAACACCACATCCAGCTTCAATAACAAGTCAAGGAGACTTTGACTTTTATAGTGTGGAAGCAGTACCATTAGATTCCCCCACTCTTGAAAATGCCCTCTTTCATTCCCCCTTCCTCTTCACTTCCCAAAAGAAGCCTTACATTTCTGCTCCTCTTAACTGGGCACTACAAGTAATCGAATTGCAGTCTCTGAAGTTTAGTTTCTTACCCAGTCCTCTTCTATTGAGCCAAAGGAATACTGTTTAAATCCTTGGGAGATCTTTATGCCCTCTCTCTGTCGCTGATCTATATAGAACTCCTGCAGGGCAGCCAGTGTATGGGATGAAAGCTGAGGGATGTCGTCGTCATCATCATCACCCATTATCTAGATGTTAAGAAGAAGTGTTTAAACTCAGCTTTTCTCAATGATAACAGCATTTAATAAAGACCAGCTCATTTGAGATAAAACACCAAACAGTGACACACTTACTAACCAGAAAACTAAACGTCCTGAAGCCAGGAGCCAACAAAATAAAGCACATTCGCTCTTGCAGTGTAAGATGGAGGTTGGATTGAGTGGGTAATATTAAAATGTATCAAACACCTACCAGCCAGAGGCAGATATGAAATAGTCTGTCTCCAAGCAGAGTCCAGAGAGGAGTCCCAGAACCATTCCCTTTCTATGCAGCGGAGGGCTAACTGATCTTACTGGTGTGTAATTCTTCCAGGACCACTCACCGTTTTTTTCCTATCAGCCTCTAACTAATTAGGCCTTTTGTGTACTTTTCAAGTCCTGTAGAACTCTGCTCCTCCCTTTCCACCTAAAAAATGTGATGCAATTAATGCTAAATAATTAGCAAAAACTATAACATATTTCATATGGTCAGCTCACCAATATAAAAGTATGTTCTCCTTGTTGGAACAGGTTCGTGGTTATTAATCAGGAGGAAAATGATCAGTTGTCTACAGGAATAATAACTGACATGAAAGATCTGTATTATCAGGAGTGAAAGGGGGCGGGGAAAGCAGACTCCCATCTGTGTTTATCATTTTCATAATGAAAAATTCAGTCACTTAACATACCCCATTACATGGGATTTTTTTCAGTGTTAACATGCTAACTACAGAAAGCAGCCACCCCGTACAGAGATAATACTCATAACACTTACATGCTTCCTTTGGACAAAATGCAGCAAACTTGGTACCTTGATGGAGATGCTGAGAGTAATGATGTGAGAAAGCAAGAGATCCTGCTGTGTGCTGCAGAACCTGTCTTTCTCTTTTTAATATTGGGAAGCATAACTGGCCAAGTTGTAGTTATGTGTATAATGTTTGAATACACATGCTGCTTACAGAGCACCAAAGTACAGCAATATGTTTCTCTCAGGTTGTTTTGGTTTGATAGACATTAGTTAAGCATATTGATGCTTAATGCTTAATTAACCTGTGCCCCAGATAACTACACTTGACAGCCCTACAAAATATATAATTGCTTTATGATAATTAGCCATAATTAGCCATAAATATAGATGTTCTTAAACATAAAGACCTGCCCTTTTCTTTTCCCATCCTTAATTTTCAATATCCTAGTTACAACTCTGTGTTCACCTCCCGTAATTCTTTGCCCAGGCTTCTCTCTCTTTGCAACACTCTGATCAAAACATGCATTCTAAACTTGATTTGCTAAAATTGCACGTGCCATCTGACCACTTGCTAAGAGGAGGTTATGTTTAACATTAACCCACCACTGTGAGATGGTCAATTGAACAGTGCTCACTGGGAATGTTTAGTCTGTCACTCCACAGACTCAATGGAAGTGTTTGTCTCTATAAATCAGAGCCCTGACTGAACACACAGGCTCATGTAGTAGTTCATTTGGTTTTCAGACTGGTTTGGCAGAAAGGGGACATTTTTATTCTCAATTTGAATGTAGAAATAAGTTCAAAAAATGGGTTCCAAAAACTGGCTTTTTTATGTCCTCTCTTCTCCACCCCATTAAAAAAAAAGAAAACTGGTTCAGTTTTACAGGGCCTAAAGGCTAAACCCTGTGCTTTAGAGTGTAAAGAATCCTGGCTCACTGCTTTTGCACAAGCAGAAAATTCTGCAGTCAAGCTACTCAACACAAATACGTCTTTTTAAGACTAACTTTGTTCTTAGTATTCTGTTAAATTGCCTAGCATAAACACCTATAAAATTATTACTAATATAAACTGCAAGTCCAAAAAGCTACTATTGCTATTGGTTCTGAATTTGACCAATTCTATCTAGAGCAAATCACTCTGAAGCCCAGATCAGAGTCAGGATAAAAATGACATCATTGTAGATGAATGGTTTTCGGCCAGGGTTACCCGTACCCCGGGGGGTATACAAAGATCTTCCAGGGGGTACTCAACTCATTTAGATCAGTGTTTCTCAACATGGGGGGTTGCAACCCCCAGGGTGGATCACAGGATGGGTTCAGGAGATCACAAGTGCAGGGCCAGCATTAGGGAGGGGCAAGCAGGACAACTGCCCAGGGCCCCATGCCACAGGGGGCCCTGCAAAACTATGTTACATGGTTCAGCCCTGCTGCTGGGGCTTGCTCGGGCTTCATATAAGGCTCACAAGTGAAAAACAGGCTAAAGTATCACACGGAAACGTAAGTACAATATTTATATTCCAATCAATTTATTTTATAATTATATGGTAAAAATCAGAAACTAAGCAATTTCTCAGTAATAGCGTGCTGTGACACTTTTGTATTTTTATGACTGATTTTGTAAACAAGTAGTTTTTAAATTAGTGTGAAATGTGGGGTACGCAAGACAAATCAGACTCCTGAAAGGGCTACAGTAGTCTGGAAAGGTTGAGAACTGCGGCCGTAAATAGCCTGATGCTGGTATAAGTTGCCAGTTCTTGGAGCGGCCAACAAGACCACGTACTAGGCCTGTGTTTCTCCAGTAAGCTTGTCAACACTGGAGACAAAAACTGCATTTTCCATCTTTGTTTTTTCCTCTGCTCTCTTGTATTTGTCTTGTTTTTTCTTCTAGAGATTGGATTTTACCACCACCACCAGCAGCTCATCTCAACTAACAAGGGGGCTTTTCCTTCTACAGATGCTCTATAGCTAACAGAAAAGTGAACAAAGGGTGTTGTTAAAAAGAAAGCCTTATTTAAATACTTTACATTTCAAATGCTGAATTGTTTCTCCCCTCCATTTCCTGTACCTTTATGGAAAGCTTAAAGAGGATTTATAATGTGTTTGCCAATTGCCATGATATTAAACAGCCTGAGTCTGCATACCAAACCCTGAATCTTCTTTAACACTGAGTCTGATGCTGGACATGACTGGGTCACGTTAACACTTTTTAGTCCCATATAATCCATCAAAATTAACACAACAGAACTCAACGCTCCGCCCCCAGCTCAACACATCCCCCAAAACCACCCCTCCCCCAACCTGGCCCCAGCGCTTCCCCCCCCCAAACCACCCCTCCCCCAACCTGGCCCCAGCGCTTCCCCCCCCCAAACCACCCCTCCCCCAACCTGGCCCCAGCGCTTCCCCCCCCCCAAACCACCCCTCCCCCAACCTGGCCCCAGCGCTTCCCCCCCAAACCACCCCTCCCCCAACCTGGCCCGTTCCCCCCCAAACCACCCTCCCCCAACCTGGCCCCAGCGCTTCCCCCCCCCCAAACCACCCCTCCCCCAACCTGGCCCCAGCGCTTCCCCCCCCCCAAACCACCCCTCCCCCAACCTGGCCCCAGCGCTTCCCCCCCCAAACCACCCCTCCCCCAACCTGGCCCCAGCGCTTCCCCCCCCCAAACCACCCCTCCCCCAACCTGGCCCCAGCGCTTCCCCCCCCCAAACCCACCCTCCCCCAACCTGGCCCCAGCGCTTCCCCCCCCCCAAACCACCCCTCCCCCAACCTGGCCCCAGCGCTTCCCCCCCCCCAAACCACCCCTCCCCCAACCTGGCCCCAGCGCTTCCCCCCCCCCAAACCACCCCTCCCCAAACCTGGCCCCAGCGCTTCCCCCCCCCAAAACCACCCCTCCCCCAACCTGGCCCCAGCGCTCCCCCCCCCCAAAACCACCCCTCCCCCCAACCTGGCCCCAGCGCTTCCCCCCCCAAAACCACCCCCCCCAACCTGGCCCCAGCGCTTCCCCCCCCAACCTGGCCCCAGCGCTCCCCCCCCCCAAAACCACCCCTCCCCCAACCTGGCCCCAGCGCTCCCCCTCCCCAAAGCCACCCCCCCCAACCTGGCCCCAGCGCTCCCCCCCCAACCTGGCCCCAGCGCTCCCCCCCAAAAACCACCCCTCCCCCAACCTGGCCCCCCCAACCCACCCCTCCCCCAACCTGGCCCCAGCGCTCCCAACTCCACCCCCACACTCCTATCCCTGGAGCCTTCATTCAATCAACCCCCAGCCCCAAGGCGAAGCGGCCTCATCACTTCACTCACCGCGGACACGGCCCGCTCCGGGCGCGGGCCCGACACCCCGACCCCGCTCTAGAGACTGAGAACTACGCGAGCGGACAGGCGCACTCCCGCTCTGCGTGCACGACCCTGTCCGCGGGGGCGCGCACGCGTTGCCGGCTGCGCCTGGTCCTGGTGATTCTGGCGTCCCATCGCCGCGCTCCCTGGGCACGTCACAGTGGGCGGGTCCCAGCGGGTCCCACCCTGTGGCTGAGAGAACGGCGCTCCCCTCGCCCGAGCTCTGGGGTGTCCCGCGCGCTGGTTCGGTCACGTGCTCAGCCCAGGGCACCCTTAGCCCCGCGCGCTGCCTTTAGCCCCGGGGCGCGTGGCCAGCCGTGACCCCAATGCTCCCCCCGAAACCATCCCTCCCCCCAACCCGACCAGTGCTCCCCAACCCCAATGCGGGGCTTGCAGTGGAAGGGGGCGGCCCAGCTGCAGCCACTGCTCCAGTCCTGCCCTCCAGCCCCGCGGATCCTGCTCCCCGGGCTGGGCCAGGGGGATCCGCTCCCGTGGCGCTCCTGGGGCAGCCCTGCCTGGCCCCACCTGCAACCCCAGGGGTTGGGTTGTTTTAGTTCTGACTTTGGGTCTCTTTGAGTCGCTTTCTCTTGCTCTCTGGCTTTTACTTAAATCCTACCTGCTAAAGATTGGTCTCATGCGGCTACCAGGGTACTTGTCTTCATAAAGGGGCAAAAAGAAGCTCTGGGGTGAATTATAGGCCAGCCTAACTTCAGTACCCCCCAAGATACATGGTAAAATACAAATTATTAAACAGTTTATTGAACCTTGGATGATAAGGTCATAAAACTAATACCCAACTTGGATTTCTCAGGAACAAATTATGCCAAACCCATCTAATGTCTTTCTCTAACAGGTAGGGTTGGCAACCCTCCCAGATTGTCCGATAGTCTCCCAGAATCGGGTTCGAGCTCCCGGAGTCTACTGAAGCCAAACCGGGAGATTTTAGGCTACTAAAAGTCTGGCCGTGAAGTAGGGCTAAGGTAGGCTTCTCCCTACCTGCCCTTGGCTCCTCATGATCCCAGAAACAACTGGCACATCTGGCTCCTAGGCTCAGGGGGTCTCTGCACCTGCCCCAAGCGCCAACTCCACAGCTCCCATTGGCTGGGAACCGCAGCAAATGGGACCTGCGGGGGCAGTGCCTGCCGGCAGGCAGGGGCAGTGTGCAGAGCTGCCTGGCTGCCTAAGAGCTACACATGCTGGCCACTTCTCGGGAGCCATCCGAGGTAAGTGCTGCCTGGGTGGAGACCATACCCCAACCACCTGCCCCAGCCCTGAGTGCCCTCCTGTACCCAAACTCCCTCCTAGAGCACACACCCCAAACCCCCTCTCGTGCCTCAACCCCGAGTCCCCTCCCAATTGCAAACTCCCTCCCAGAGCCCACTCCCACACCCAAACTCCCTCTCAGAGCCTGCACCCCAACCCCGAGCCCCAGGCTCAGCACAGAGCCCCCCCCCACACTCTGAGCACCTCAGGCCCACCCCCCAAACCCCTGCCCCAGCCTGGTGAAAGTGCGGAGGGGCAGAGAGAGCAAGTGACGGAGGGAGGGGGGAATGGAGTGAGCAGGAGATGGAGCCTTGGAAAGGGGCAGGGCAGGGGTGTGGCAGCGGGGCAGGGCAAGGGTGTTCAGGTGTGTGTGATTGGACAGTTGGTAACTCTATGGTAGTGCAACCTGTTCAGCGGCTGGGGGGAAGCTGTAGCCAGGGGCAGCAGGTTCGATAGCCCAGGGGAGGCTAACCTGCCCCAAACAGCCAGGCTGTGGCCCTGCCCAGGCTCTGCCCCGAGGCCTTTCTCTCATGTCCCACTCTTCCCACCCTCACTCGGCCTCTCCCCCAAAGCTGGTAGAGCAGCTCAGGGTGGCTGGGGCAGGTCAGTGCTTGGGCTGGCAGCCTGGGACTCAGGCTGCTTGGGCCGGCCAGTCCAGGACAGGGCAGCTGGGGCAGGCCAGCCGGTGGGCTGGGACTCAGGGTAGCACTCCTCTGACCGTGTCAAGGGGCATTGGCAGCAAGTTATATGGGCCCATGGTGCTTGTGCTCCACCAATCTTCAGGAATGTGGATCTGGCTCCACCAATGTTTGAGCTTATATTTAATCAGAGCCGTTCCGCCCCATGCTTCAGGGTACGTGGGGTCCAGGGCAGCCTGGGGGGTTAGCAGGGGGCCTGACACAGGCAGCAGTGGGGTGGCCTGGTGCTGACCCACCCTGCTCTGCCCCACCCCCACTCCACCCCTTCCCCCAAGGCCCCACCCTGCCTCTTCCCACCCCTGCTCTGCCCCCATTCCTCTCTTTCCGGCTTCCACCCCCTCCCGCGAGCGACGCCAGGAGCTGGCGGAGTGGGGTAGGCGGGGGGGCCACATCACTTGCTGCTGCTGGTGCCAGGCCCCCCACTGACCCCTCAGGCCACCCTAGACCCCATGTCCCCCTGAAGCTCAGGGTCCCCGAAAATGCAAGGCCTGGGGCGGTTGCCCTGGTCAGTCCTGGCTCTGCTTGGACCCATTTTGGGCACCAGCAAAAATTATACAAACCTGGCGCCCATGGTGGGGGGCTCAGGGCTCCAGCAGAGGAGGAGGGCAGGGTGGGACCAAAGGCTAGTCTCCCAAAATGGGGGGTTCACGTGCTGCCCATGGCTGTAGCTATGATATATCTTGATTTTAGCAAGGCTTTTGACACAGCCCCACATGACAGTCTTATAAGCAAACCAGAGAAATTCACTTGAGATGAAATATTATAAAGTGGTTGCAAAACTGGTTGAAAGACTATACTTGAAAAGTAGTTATCAATGGTTCACTGTCAAACTGTGAGGACTTATCAAATAGGACAGAGTCTGGTGTATCCTATGTCTAGTAGTAATCAATATTTTCATCAACTTGGATGACACAGAGAAGAGTATGCTTATAAAATTTGTAAATGACACCAAGCTGGGAGGGGTTATAAGCACTTTAGAGAACAGAATTAGAATTAAAAATTATGTTGATACACTGGAGGATTGGTTTGAATTCAATAAGGTGAAATTCAATCGACAAGTGCAGAGTACTACACTTAAAAAGGAAAAACCAAATACAAAATAGAGAATAAGGGATAGGCAGCATTATTGTAGACAAGGACTGGGGAGTTCCAGTGGATCACGACAGAGTTAATGTAATGCATTGTGAAAGGAAAATATTCTGGGTTGTGTTAACAGGAGTGGTATGTGTAAAATAGGGAAGGTAATTTGTCCCACTCTACTCGGTGGTGGTTAGGCACCACACTTTTTTTCATCAACAAAATGGACAGATTAGAGAGAATCCAGACCAGAGCAACAACAGTAATAAAAGGTTTAGAAAACCTGACGTCTGAGGAAAGGTTAAACAACGGGGCATGTTTAGTCTTAGGAAAAGGTGTGGGGGGGGGAAGATCTACTAACAGCCTTCAAATATGTCAAAGGTTGTTATAAAGAGGACTATGAGCAATTGTTCCCCACATCCATTGAGAGGATGAGGGAGGATAAAATGTAATCAGCTTAAGCTGTAGCAAGGGAGATTCAGGTTAGGTATTAGAAAAAGCTTAAAACTTTTGTTTCTCAGAGGTGTGAAAAAACACCTCACCCCACCTCCAAACAACAAAAGTTTTAACTACGAAAAGTGTTGGTGTGGACAGCACTTCATGATCTGGGAACTTTACTTCACAATGCATGGTGCAACACCATCAACCCTGGTCAGTGGCTGGTGCAATAGTCTTCAGTAGACTGTGTGTCGATGATGATGATTTTAAGTTCCCCTACCTTGTTTACATTCAGTGCCATTTTCCTGCTCAGGAGGCAAGTAGCACAAGAGAACTAGTAACCTGGAATATGTTTTTAATGATTTAAAGAAACATTAAACTACTCAAAATATTTTGAGTAGAAGATAAATATAAGCTATCAAGCAACAGTTCATTAATCTTCCTTCTTGCCCCTGCTGAACGTAAAAATAGAATCTGGCATCTAGTAGCTACAGAACCACACTTTATTCTCTATGGCTATTACCTGAAGATTGCATATATCCCTGAGAGGACTAAAAGCTCTTGTACTGAAGGCTCTTACACCCTTCACCAGTCCCATACTTCAATATAATGTGTTGTCTGATTCAAAATAACTTCTTGCCTTTATTGAAAATCCAGCAAAAGAGGAAATTCACCCCACTGTGGAAGATTCTGCCACATAGCACCAATTAGCCTGGGGGAAGTCTACTGCTACTACGGCTTTGGTTATTTCAGTTCCATAACCTCCTTTGGGTTGCGGAATAATCAAAAATAGCTGACTTTTTAAATGAGGTAACTTTCTACCTCTATTAGTAGTACAGAATATTGCATATTAGGGATCAGCTCCCAATTTAAGTTATTTACCTACCTCTCTGGGATGCCATGAAGATTTAATGAAAAGTATTTAAGATGTAGAGCTCTACGGAAAGGGCTATAAGGCTCAAGCATAAAAGGCACAAGACAGAGGAAGGAGGGAGTTCCACTTCTGATCCAGATTTCTTTGAAGCATGGTCTCCCTATGACTAAAAGTTTCCTCTTCCCTCCCAAAAAAGTTACTGGAAGCTGGAGGGAATTAAAAGGTGTGTGGACTTGGCAGACAATCATTGATTATGGGTTTGGACATTATCTGGTGGCAGACAAAACCAGAGATCAAACTTGATGACTAGGACCCATGAGTTGCAGGGTCCTTTCTAAATGTCTGTAGGGTCAAACTCAAAAGCCATCATAAGAAACAAATAAAAGGAGTGTCTGTGCTACTGTGTGCTGCCAAAAGCAGCATCTTACTAAGAGTCATTTAGTCAGTTTCCTACTCCCTCTTTGTGAGTCAACTCACTTCTAGTTAAACTCACTTCTAGTTTTGCACTCTCACAAAAAATTCAATGTATTTCCTCTGACATTGCTATCTTTAAAATGGGATATGCTAAAAACTGATTTGAGGTAGTAGAGAATTTCTGCTTGTATGCAAATGCCAATTCTACTTATTTGTGATGATCTTAGCTAGAGCTCATAAGGGAAAGCTCTTTGCTTTGCTAGGAAAAATAATCAAATTTTAAACAATGCAGTTTTACTCTGAAAAGTGACCACAGCCTGCTGAAAGAATAAGTGGTATTCTATTCTGACTGGCACATCAA